GGAGAAATGTCAAAGTAAGAAAATAAAAGGAGGGCTGGGAAGGTGGCTCAGTGGTAGAGCGCTTGCCTTGCATGCATGAGGTCCTGGGTTCGATTCCTCAGCACCACATAAGCAAAAAGAAAAAAGCCAGAAGTGGCACTGTGGCTCAAGAGCATTAGCCTTGAGCTGAAAAGCTGGGGGACAGCACCCAGGCCCACGACTGGACCCCCCAAAAAAAATTGTGGATACAAAAGGAAAGAAATAGAAGAAACAAAAGTACCAACTAGGATATATTGTACATGTTTATGTATACAAATGTATTAAGATAATTCTTACCAATTACTTCTCTCTTCCTAGACTAAGAACACAATAAGATCTTCATTTGTAATGGTTTTTTGTGGGGGAGGGGGAAGTCGGTTATGGGGCCTGAACTCTGGGCCTGGGCGCTGTCCCTGCGCTCTTCAGCTCAAGGCGAGTGCTCTACCACTTGAGCCACAGGGCCACGTCGGGTTTCCTAGTGGTTTATTGGAGATAAGAGTTTCAGAACTTTCCTGCCCGGGCTGGCTTTGAACTGAGATCCTCAGATCCCAACCTCCTGAGTAGCTAGGATTACAGGAGTGAGCCACCGGCTCCTGGCTCTTTTAAATTTTTTTGAATGGTGCTAATAATTGAATTTGAAATCAGGGAGGGACCCATGCTTGCTAAGCAGGCCTGCTTTTTGACCAGGTCTGCCTGGACAGTGAACCTCCTATTTACACTTCTAGACTAGAATAACAGGCACATACCACTACACACCATCTGTAGAGATAGGGAGACTCACAAACTTCCCACAGGCTGGCCTCAGACCTAATCTGATCTCAACCTCCCAAGTAGCTGAGATTATATATGTGAGACAGCATATCCAATTTATAATGATTAATGTTTACTTTTTAGTTATTAACAGTAGTGGAATTTGAACTCAATGCATCATGTTTGCTAGTCAACTATATTACTGCTTGAGCCCTTGCATCCAGTATAGTAATGATTAAGCCTTATTGTCAATTTGATGAAGAAATATCTAGATTAGTAAAGTACACTCAGGCCCAGTATACAGGTGATCACACCTGTAATCCCAGCTACTCAAAAGGCTAAGATCTGAGGATCACAGTTCAAAGCCAGCCCAGGCAAGGAAGGTCCATAAGACTCTTATCTCCAATTAACCACCAGAAAACTGGAAGTGGCACTGTGGCTCAAGTGGTAGAGTGCTCGCCTTGAGATGAAGAGCGCAGGGACAGGGCCCAGGTACAGAGTTCAAGCCCTATGACCAACCAAAACAAAAAAAAACAAAAAACAAAAAAAAGGAAATTATACTTAGGGTACCTAGGATAGCATTTCCAAAGATGAGCATGAGTTTTCTGATAAATGTTTAAATCCATTTAATCCATCCAAAATCTGAATAGACCAGTGGGAGGTAGTAGAATTTTTTGCTAGGTTGGAAGTAGACTATTGGGGTAAATCCTTGGATTCTATCTCACCCTAGATGCTTTCTGATGTGGCTCCTTCCTTCCAGCCACCATGATGAAACTGCTAGGCTCTGCCATGTCTTCCCCATGGTGAACATCATGATACCTCTGATGAACTGATACCTCTGAAATCATTAACCAAAATAAGATCTTTGATGGGCACCAGTGGCTAACTGCTGTAATCTTAGCTAATCAGGAGGCTAAGATCTGAGGATACTGGTTCGAAGCCAGCCCAGGCAAGGAAAGTCCATGAGACCCTTCACACACCCAAAAGCCAGAATTGAAGCTGTGGTAGAGTACTAGCTTTGTGCAAAACAAAGCTCAGGAGTATTGCCTAGGTGCTGAGTTCAAGCTCCAGGACAGGTATCAAAAAAAAAAGAAAGAAAGAAAAGAAAAGACTATAGGGAAAGACAAGATTCTTTGGAGAGTAAAATTCTGGTATGTTGATTTTTTTTGGGGGGGGGTCCGGTCGTGGGGCCTGAACTCTGGGCCTGGGTGCTGTCCCTCAGCTCTTCAGCTCAAGGCTAGAGCTCTACCACTTGAGCCCAGTGCCACTTCCGGCATTTTTCTTTTTCTTTTTGCTTATGTGGTGGTGCTGAGGAATCAAACCCAGGGCTTCATGCATGCAAGGCAAGCGCTCTACCACTGAGCCACCTTCCCAGCCCCTGGTATGTTGATTTAGAAATTATAACCATTACTTAATCCTAAATTTCCAGGAATGTTGCAAAATTGGTAAAGAAAAAATACTGTTGGAGAAAAGATGCAATGCACTTTATTGAAAAGACAACTGTGCAAAAGAGAAGTCTTAATCTTTCTAAGTTTGGATTGAAGCTCAATTATCAGATGTTTCTCAATTTCATCATGGTTCAAAAATTAGAGTATCTATTGGGCAGTATTACTTGGTTAAGAGGTAACTCAGTCATTTCTACACAAAAGCATACTTCACATAAGGTTAAGTTTACAAGACAATAATGAAAATTGTGAAAGGTAGAACATTTTAATGATGAAATAACTAAATTCTTGTTTGCTTATACTTGTCCACTTAACACAGAGAGGTTCAGGAGGGCAAAACAGATTTCCTTGATGTTTCAAGAATATTTTCTCACCACAAAACTTTTTTTTTTCACTCATGGAGCTTGAACTCTTGGTCTAGGTGCTGTCCCTCAGCTAGCACTCTACCACCACTTGAGCCAAAGCACCACTACTGGCTTTTTTCTGCTTATGTGGTGCTGAGGAATCAAATCCAGGGCCTCATGCATGCAAGGCAAGCATTAAATCACTGAGCCACCTTGCCAGCTCCACGTTTGTTTTTTTTTTGACCAATCCTGAATCTTAAACTCGGCCTTGGCACTGTTCCTGAGCCTCTTGTGTTCAAGGCTAACACTCTCTACCACTTGAGCCACAGTGACACTTTGAGCTTTTTCTGTTTATGTGGTACTTAGGAATCAAACCCAGGGTTGCATGCATGCTAGGCAACCACTCTAAGCTACATTCCCACCAGACACTTTTTACAAGACATTTTATCAAACATCGAAAACATGGTAGCAGCAAAGTATCTGCATTTAATCAGAATACAAGTGGTATGCATCTTATATAAACATCTTTATACAAGTGTATTATTAAGATGTATATATATTATGTTTGGAGGCATATCACTAAATGAGATCTGATTTGTCTTGTTTTGAGAAAAAGCCTTGAACATGAGCTGCTCCTGCCTCAGCCTCCTTGTTGATGGGCTTACAAGTATGTGCCTTCATGCCTGGCAAATGAGAAAAGGCTTTCATGGCACATTCTTCCATTTTTCTGGAGTAATATGGACTACAGTTCACAATTTTTTTTTGGTCGGTCAT